TTCTCTTCTATCATTAAAGTTATTGAAATGATAATCGAGGATGGGGCTAGTGCTGATCAAAGAGGAGAATGTAATTTGTTGCTTGTACAGATGCAATCCTTTGATTTCATATTTTGTCTTTTTCTTATGAGACATATTTTAGGTGTAACCAATGAGTTATAATGACCAGGATATTGTCAATGCTATGGATTTGGTCAAGGCAAGCAAACAACAACTCCAAAAAATGAGAGAAGAAGAATGTGAATGGGAAAATTTATTGGAGAAGGTAAATTCTTTTTGTAATAAGCACGACATAAATATTTGTTGAAGCAAAATATATTTTTACCGAGTACCGAATCGAAAGATTCGTTTCCCGGGTCGATCTCTCAAGGAAGGTTAGCCGGATATAATTGTTCGATTATTCAACCACAAAAGAAGATAAAAATCCTAAACACTCTATTTCAATGATTTGGGTTTTGATTATCAACTACCTACTGCAAATTAAATAGAGCACGAAATGAACAGTCACGAATTAACTGAGAATTTAAAGAGCTAGGGAATCGGGGACAACTGCTTTCGGTTCTTACACAACTACCGGCAATCAATTGCTCGGTTAAAGGAAATGAATCGTCTATCGTTTAGAGGTTCACTCTCAATAACTCTTCGTAACAAGAGAGTGAACATATACGATTGACTATCAAAGCCAGCAACTCATAGACAATACTTTGACGAACAAGTCTATTCTAAACGAGCCTAAGTCGACCAATGTCTCCCCTTTCGGTTCTAAACAATGATTTACTAGGTTATATAGGTGATCAATCTATTAACCTTAAATTGAACTCAACTCGCATAGATATGAACAATTAAGAACAAGCAATTATAATTGAACCTAATCAATTATCCCCTATCCCTAGCAGATGGATTTAGCTACTCATAGTGGATTTGATCACGCAAACATTCATAACCCAAGACATCATCATCAATGGAAGAATTGAAGAAAAATACTTACGATTAATGAAAATTCTGAATCCAATCCAATAGTATCCAAATCCAAAGCAAGATAATAGAGGTTTTAAATCTCTAAAATCAAATCTCAAGATCAAAACAATTCAAAAGTGCGAAAGAAAGAAAAGGAATGAGTTTCTCTAGAGAAAAAGTGTAAAAACGAAGTCTCTAAACTGAATAATCATCCCTAGGGTCGAATTCTGCTCTAAAAATCCCGTCCTCGAAATTCGCGCCCGACAAAGTCGCGAGTCGCGAGATGGACCTTTTCTTCGCTCGCGAGTCGCGACTTCCTGGCGAGTCGCGCGCTGTCAAAATATAAATTTCTGGGGTTGAGTCGCGAACTATCTCGCGAGTCGCGACATTATCTCGCGAGTCGCGAGTTCTAATCGACACTGCACCATAAGCTTCTGTTTTTTCCGCGGGCCGCGACATTCCCTTGAGTCGCGACATGACTCGCGAGTCGCGAGACATCTCGGCTCACGCAATTCTAACCTCGACCGGCACAACCTACCTCCTGAAAACACAACACAGAAAAACACGAAGCAAAACACGGCAAAAAGATACAAAAATATAAACTAAAGACAAAAACACAAAACGAACGAAACGGACCAAATAAACTACAAAAATCCTACAAATGGGGAAAAACGAAAAGAAAATAAGCATGAAATAAAGACACAAAAATGGGACAAACAATATTCTGAACATGGATGATATGTTTATTGCTCAAGGAAAATCTCAGCGTAGGGTTGAGAAGTTAACGGTCTTTCATCATTATCGAGTGCATGTGTTTTACTCGGTGATTGATAGACAACTTTCAAATTTGAACGACCGCTTTAATGAGGTAAACACCGAGCTTCTCATTTGTGTTGCAAGCTTGGCTCCAGATGATTCCTTTTCTGCTTTTGACAAGCAAAAGTTAATTCGCCTTGCTAAATTCTATCCGAGAGATTTTTCTGAAAGAGATGTGTTAGCACTTGAAGACAAGCTTGATATCTACATCAATGATATGCGTACGAATACTAATTTTTCCCAACTCAAAGGACTTGGCGGTTTTGCAAAGAAAATGGTCGAGACAAGAAAGCACATAACTTATGCATTCATCTACAAGCTTCTAACTTTGGCTTTAGTTCTTCCAGTTGCTACAGCTTCAGTGGAAAGAGTATTTTCGGCTATGAATCTCGTGAAGAGCCCACTCCGCAATAAAATGGGAGATCAATGGATGAATGATAGTTTACTTGTTTATATTGAGAAAGATGTATTTAATAGCATTAGCAATAATGCTATAATGCATCAGTTTCAAAATATGAAATTGCGTCGTGGACAATTACCTTCCCGTTAATTGACCACTTTTTTTTTTTTTTTTAAACTTAAGTGAACTTAGAAAAAAAATTTCATATTGCCCTGGCTGGTAAAAAATTCTGGGTCCGCCACTGGTGATGAGTAGGATAAGCATTTGGCTTTTAATGATTCTTGTATGGGAAGGTAGTACGGGCTACTTGTAATTAAGAATCACCTATGTACGAGAGAAGTGGGGCCACTACGAAAAGAATTGTGTGAGGCTCAATTCTTAGACCCTCTTACAGAACCAGGCTATGTCCAGGGCCATCAATGGACATAAAAATGAGAACTGGAATATGTTAGGGGGAATCCTGTGTGAAGTATATTTATCGTTTAAACAAAAGGCAGAACAATTCAAAGACATCGCGTCTACTGGTCAGCTAGTAAAGTTAATATGTTTTCATAAGGGAAGGTTCAAAGGGTAACACCTACCTATCCTATGCAGATTTCAACTGTTGGACCATTACATTATTTTTCATTTTCATTCATGTGGGGAATTGTTGGAAAAATTGAATGAAATTGTAACATGACATTAATTTTAACAACTTGCAAATTTAAGTTGTAACTTGTTTTCATGGTACAAACTTAATTCTATTAAATGTTGAATTAATGGAGTTAAATGAAGTGGCTCATCTTATCCTATTTAAAGGAGTTGTCTTCCTTTGAAGAGCACACTTACGAGAAGAAGAAAACAAATTATTAAAGTCAATTTCCCCATTTGTCTTTTATAGTGTTTTGGTCCAGGCATAATTCCAGTTCGTCGGATTTGTTTCGGTTTTCCCGTTGTATCCTGGAAAATAGACGCTCATACGGGGCGAATCTATTTTAAGGACATTGTGTTCACGCAGGCCTCGATATTATATATTATAGCCATCTTATTTTCAATTTCCCGATAAAGTTTCCTACAAATACAACTACTCTATAGGAGTCTAGGTCGAACAAAACTCATCACGTTTTGGTTCTAAAAGTTATTTAATTAAATTTAAAGGTGATCAACGATCATATAAAACACAACTTGCATAAAATGAACAAATTTAGAAAAACATGATAATCACAGAACATATGAACAATCACCCCAAAAAATAACAGGTCGTACGTCTATGTTTTGTGTAATATAATTAGCAACGTGATTTTTTTAGGTTAAGGTTAGTTCATAATTATTTTATTTTGCCTTAAATATGATAAGGCCACCGCTTCTGACTACAACTCTGTTCAAACAAAACATTCAAACATGTTATGCAATGAAAAAGTCAAAAGATTACAGTGTTGAGTGTGAACTGTCCACATAACTACAACAGTTTTCTCAAATACTAATGCTACTTTGTACTTTCATAATATATCTTCAATGTGAAGTGTGAAATTCAATATGTGAAATTCAATATTGCAATGAAGTTGTAAAAAGGATTGATTACGAGAACGCCCTTTTCTTGACTATTGTAATCACTGGGAACTCGTACTAAAATGCAATTTCAAAAATCCAAAAATTGTAACATAGAAATGAAATGTACATGGTACTCGCAACTTAGGAAGTATTGAATTAAATAGTTATCTGTAATTTTGGGTTTATGAATCAAAATAAACTAGAACAACCCTTAGACCAAAAAGATTTTAAAAAAAAAAAAGATGAAAAAAGTCGTGGGACCTTGCTGAAGTGATGCTGAAATAACATTTTATATATTATCCTCCTTTTGACTCTGACTGATATATTGGACGTGTCTTATCGCGCCATACTCGTCTTATGCTCTCGGGTTTCAATAATTTGGGATTGGAGAGACTTGATTGTTTTATTTCATACGCAAAGTTTAACTAAATTTTAATTCAATTCTAATATTTTTAATATTGTTAATGTAATTAAATAATACAAATCAATCATTTATATATATCACATCAACTTTAATTCATTATTCATCCACTCACATAATTTTAATCACATAATTATTTTAAATATTATTTTAATACATTTTTAAAATTCCACTAACACATAACCATAATACATTTTTCAAAATTAACTATAATTAACTAAAACAACTCACTTTGAACAAATTATTTCATAAACAATCAACCCCTTAACTTTTACTATTGTAAATACTATTAATCAACCTGCGCATTTACACAGAGATGAATACTTTAAAAAGATAAAAATATAAAAAAAAAACAAAAATAAATCATAATTTAATTCATGAAAAAAATATGAATTAAGAAAATAATTCTCAAAATTGATTTTGATCAAGTAATTGCTATGGAAGAGCCGTTACAACCATTTTCTTTTGCTAATACGCTCGATCATTTTCATGAGTGAGTGTAACTTAACATTTGAGTACAATTTTGTAACTCCCTTCATTGGTTTATGCTCATAATTTATGACATTCAAGCAAGTTATTTTGTAACTTAAAAATGAAACTGAATGCTGAAAATTTTGAAGGGAGAATAAAAATTTAATGCATGGTAATAAAATTAAATGCTTTGTTGTTCCTCTTTATATAAGGTATAGTCTGCTGGCCAACTGAATATTAAATACATGTTGCTTGTCAAATTCCAATGCTTCTCAGCAACTACAAAAGAAAAAGAAACTCCAATAATTCGTTATTTATTGAGTTGAATAAAGATTGTATACCCACTACCACTTGCCCAATTCAACCAACGCGTTGTTGAGTTGAGATTGAATGAAAGCAGCATTATTAATGGCAATAAACACTATTTGCCTCCACCAGAAAGCAAACCAAACCCAAAAGCAGCTCAGCCATGAATAAGTACAACACAAGATCCATTTCCTTTGTGCACATTTTTGTCCTCACCCTTTTCCCTCTCCAAACAAATTCCTCCACAACCACAACACAAGCACAGGCAGCACAGGCATTAGTAAGATGGAAAAACACCTTATCATCACCATCTCCATACCTAGCCTCATGGTCCCTCAACAACATCACAAGCCTCTGCTCATGGGCCGGGCTACTCTGCACCACAAACGGGGGCCCGATTTCCCGTATCAACTTACCAAACGCTGGCCTCACAGGTAATTTGGACAGCCTCGACTTCGCCTCATTCCCTAACCTCACGCTTCTCAACCTCAACGGGAACAGTCTCGAAGGCCCAATCCCACCCTCTATCGGCAACTTATCCCGCCTCTCGTTCTTGGACCTCAGCAACAACTTTCTACAACATTCCATTCCACCCGAGATTGGAAATTTGAGAAGCCTCAACTACATTAGTCTCCAGAACAACAACTTAATCGGACAAATCCCGTCTCAATTCGCAAATCTTCAGGAGCTGGAGTTCATCGACTTGGGCTCAAATTACTTGGAGACTCCTGATTGGTCACAATTCCCAAGCTTCCCATTGTTACAACACCTCAGCCTTTACTACAATGAGCTCACCTTGGAATTCCCAGGTTTCATACTAAACTGTCCCAACCTCACTTTTCTCGATTTGTCGGATAACAAGCTGGCAGGTCCGCTTCCCGAATCATTATTCGTTAATCTCATCAACCTCGAATACCTCAATCTCAGCACAAATTCATTTGAAGGCCCTCTGTCACAAAATCTCACCAACCTGTCCAAGTTGAAAGACCTTCGACTCGGGACAAATTCTTTCTCGGGCAGGATACTCGAGTCCATTGGCCTAATGCCGAATCTAGAAATCCTCGAGCTTTTCAATAATTCCCTTTATGGAAATATACCGCCTTCCTTAGGCCAGCTCAGGAATCTAAAGCGGCTGGACCTTCATATGAATGCGTTTAACTCGACAATACCTTCTGAGCTCGGTCAATGCAATAACCTCACATACTTAGCTTTGGCCCAGAATTTGTTTTCCGGGCCATTGCCTCTGTCTCTGTCGAACTTGACCGAATTATCTGAGTTGGGTTTATCTGAAAACAGATTATCGGGTGATATCTCGGCCGTTTTGCTGTCCGGTTGGACTAAATTGATATCTTTGCAGGTGTTCAACAATAGCTTCACAGGGCAAATTCCACCTGAGATTGGCCTATTGACGAATCTCAACTATCTGTTTCTCTACAACAATCGATTTTCGGGACCCATCCCAACAGAGTTGGGCTATTTACATAACCTTCTGGCAGTCGACCTTTCGACAAATCAACTTTCAGGCCAAATACCTTCATCAATTGGAAACCTAACAAATCTCTCACTGCTGAATCTTTACTCCAACAACCTCACCGGAAATATCCCACCTGATATCGGAAACTTAACATCTCTTGAAATTCTCGATCTAAACAGCAATCATCTCACCGGGACTTTGCCCGATTCCATTTCTACCCTTGTCAATCTCACAACACTATCTGTTTTCAACAATAACCTTTCGGGTATAATCCCGCCTGAGCTGGGCACCAACAGCCCCGGACTCGCGAACGTGAGCTTCACGAACAACAGCTTTTCCGGTCAGCTGCCTTCCGGATTATGCAGCGGGCTTTCCCTCGATCAATTCACGCTTAACAACAACGGGTTTTCCGGGCCTTTGCCGGGCTGCGTGAGAAACTGTTCGGGCCTTAGAAGGGTACGTCTCGAGGGCAATCGATTCACGGGAAATATTTCCGAGGCCTTTGGGTACCACCCGCAGCTCGAGTATTTATCTCTGAGTGGAAATCAGTTCACCGGGCAGCTCACGTCCAAGTGGGGGCATTATGGTAATCTCTCGAATTTCCAGATAGATAATAATAGAATATCTGGAGTGATTCCAGCCGAGCTCGGCAACCTCACACAACTACGCGTTCTCATTTTGAGCTCGAACGAATTTACCGGGCAAATGCCCGTTGAGCTTGGAAGGCTTAACCGTCTGTTCACTCTTAATGTGAGCAATAATCGACTCAACGGAAATTTCCCACGAACTATCGGTCAGCTGACGAGGCTTCAGTATCTCGACCTTTCGGGAAATGAATTCACCGGGAATATTAATGCGGACGTTTTCAGAAACTTCCGAGGCTTGCAGAGCTTGAACTTGAGCAATAACCTTTTAACGGGAAACATCCCGTACGAAATCGGAAGATTAACGAGCTTGCAATATTTTCTGGATCTCAGCAACAACTCACTTTCAGGGCAGATTCCATCATCTTTGGGAAGGCTCATATCTCTAGAAATTCTTAACCTATCACACAACAATCTTTCGGGTCGGATCCCGAACGAGTTATCTGAAATGATAAGCCTGAGAGGTTTCGATTTTTCGTATAACCGTCTTTCTGGCCCAATCCCAACAGGAGATGTATTCGTCCAAGCATCAGCAGAGGCATTTATTCAAAACTCCGGTTTATGTGGAGATGTAAATGGATTGCCTCCTTGCTCTGCAAACTCCACCAGTTCCAATTCTAAAAATAACAGGAAAAAGATTCTCATTGGCACCATTGTTCCATCAGTTAGCCTATTATTATTAACCTTGGCAGGCATCGTTGCTGGATGTCTACTCATGCGAACGAAAATAAATAAACAGGACGAGGAGGCTCCCATTTTGGGTGGCTCCGAATCCTTTAGGAAGGGAAAAATCACGTTCGGTGACATCATTCGGGCAACTGATGACTTCAGCGAGAAATTCTGCATCGGGAAAGGCGGGTTCGGGAGCGTGTACAGAGCCGATTTGCCGAGCGGCCAAAGCGTGGCCGTAAAGAGGCTCGACATTTTGAAATCTGACGAGATAACGCCGGCCAATCGCGTCAGTTTCGAGAACGAGATCAAAACGCTGACTCACGTGAGGCACAGGAACATAATAAAGCTACACGGTTACTGCTCCAGGGGAAGGTTCATGTACTTGGTGTACGAGTACGTTGAGAGAGGCAACTTGAGGACGGTGCTTTTGGACGATACGGAGGCATCACGGGTGGGCTGGCCTGAAAGGGTTGGAATCGTCCGCGGTGTGGCCCACGCGCTGGCCTACCTGCACCACGACTGTTGTCCGCCAGTCGTGCACCGTGACGTGTCGGCCGGGAATGTACTTCTGGAGGTGAACTTTGAGCCGCGTTTGTCGGATTTCGGGACGGCCAAACTGCTGACTCATCATTCGTCGGCTTGGACCACCGTTGCCGGCTCTTACGGCTACATGGCACCAGGTAAAAATCATTTATATATATAGAGACAAAATTGTATTTTTAGGCCCCAAGATTTCAATTTTTTGCCTTTTGATCATGTAATTTAGTGTTTTTGTTGCAATTTCAGTCCTAGGGAATGAAATTGCAACAAAATTTAAAATTACAGGACTTAAATTGCTAATAAAAATCCATCCTAACAAATAGTTCTTTGAGGATTGAAATTGGGTTGAATTTTTAAATCATATGACCAAATAGCAAAATGTTCAGATCTTAGGACTAAAAATGCTACTCGATCAAACCAACAAGACTAAAATTGTAATTATATATATATATACTTGTGCTGGTTAACAAGTCAGTTGTGACTTGGCATGCAGAGTTAGCTTTTACGATGAAGGTGAGTGAGAAATCGGATGTGTACAGCTTTGGTGTGGTGGCACTGGAAGTTATCATGGGGCGTCACCCAGGAGAACTCATTTACTCGCTCAACAATGCCGAGTCAGATCATGGGCTCTTGAACGAACTCATTGATCACCGGCTTTCGCCTCCCACTGGGGAAATGGCACAAGAATTGTTTTTCATAATCACTGTTGCTTTATCATGCACGCAGGAAAGCCCAGAATTGCGGCCCGACATGCGGTCTGTGGCCCAACAACTGTCAGCGACCACCCAGGCTAACCTCTCAAACCCAATGGGAGCCAAAAGAATAAGCAGACTATTAACTTTCTCAAAGTAGTTTATTGATTTTTTTATTTCGTTTTTTTTTTTAAATTTTGTTTTGTTATTATTATTATTATTATTATTATTATTATTACTCCATCCTATTCATAATANGTTTTTTTTTTTTTTTTCTTTTTCTTTTTCTTTTTTTTAAATTGTTTATGGAAAGTCAATGTATTAGAAAATGTGTAAGAATGAAATAACGTGAGTACTGCTATGCATCTATATCTACTAGTGGGTGTTCGGCTATGGGACCTAATTTAATCTATAATCAACCTTGAAATTTGAGTTTATAGTGACTCAATGCTTTTACTTTGATAGATGGTTGTGCATGCTCTTATTGTAATGACTACAATTTTTGTTACTGAAGTTATAAACTTCATACAACTTGATGTTGCATCAAACAAACTAAATCAAAATCATCATATACCACAAGCCTATACCAATTTATTGCAGCATTTGAAGAAGACAACTTCTTTTATATAACGTTTATGCTATTAATTACTAATTAGTCCATACTAATAGAGTAATAGGTGAGTTTTAGAAACCAAACCAACCGAAGAAAAACAACTACCTTTACCATCACCATAAGGAATTTCAAGAAATTGTTTAACAGCAGAAGAGTAAACAAAAGAGAGTAATGATTTGCAATCACCCTTCCATGGATAGCATACGACGAAGTAGTTCCTGTTGGGTTCCACGAAGAAAACGTCGATCGATGTGCACTCCGAGTCCAAAAAATTTATAGTCATAATCAACAGTTAGGATTAAAAACATAAGGTTTAAAAATTGTAGACTTTGAGACTTACACGGCCTACGGGAACGGACGAACGATTCTAACTTCTCATCGTCACGCCTCGAAGCTGGATGCGTCACACCATGTATCGCTGGGGTCGTCGGTCGTCGTCTTGCGCCTTGCCGCGTGTTGGTGGCCTCAGGTCCTCCAAGGCTTCTGCGTGAGGTGGTCGAGGTCGTGCGCGGCTGCGTGTGATGGTCTCGGTCGTGCAGGGTTAGTGTGGTGGTGTCTGGATCAGACGAATGGACTACCTTTGAGTCTTCTGTTGTATAATCGATCACCACTCCGAGTTGTCTTGGAGAGCGACTTGTTGGATCTCCCAAAACTCACCCGGTTCACACGTTTTTCTCTCTTTCTTTTGCTCTCGGTTTTTTCCGATTTGTTTGCTCAAGATTTTTGAGTATTTGCATGTGAATCTCGTATGTGCAGGCTATGGGACTTGGTGAATTTATAGGCAACAACAGGGATCCTAAGGAGGTGCCAAATAAGGACTCTTCAAGTGTGACTGCGCAGCGCTCGGACATTACGCCACTCAAGTGGGTCAATTCGACCTAGCCATAGGCGGACCTAGTCGAGTGGCGCTTACGACAGTTGATATGTCGATAACCTCCCTAACTCGGAATGCCTGTGATAGGGCCACCCTAGCTCATATCCAATCCCTTGTCCGTGACCATAGGCTCGACTTCGCCGCTTTTCTCGAGCCCATGACTTGTACCCCTTCTTTTGACTTCTACTTACGCTGCCTTGGTTTCCAATATGGCGTGGAAAATATCTCTAACAAGATATGGTTTTTCTACTCGTGTGACTATACTTGTCGGGTTATCCATGATACCGTGCAGATGTTGCACGTAGAGCTTTCTGCTGCCCATCTCCCTACGCCCATCTTCCCCACTCTGGTTTATGCCAGTTGAGCGAGGGTCGGGCGCTATAGTCTATGGGAC